GTGAATGTACAGCGCTCTTTCCCACCTTCAATACCACGACTGAGGTGCCCTTGAGCAAGGAATATCATCACTGATGATACAGTGACAACAGTAAGTTTCTAGAAGTAGCAAAACTAAAGTAATTTTTATTGTATACAGCTGCAAAATAAATATGTGGGAATTAAATGAGTGAACACTTGCATATTTGTACATGTTTATTTGTAGTAAAATTGACTTCAAAACAAACATCACATCTAACTTTATATTCTCTTCAACCATTGTTTGACACTGGCAGTGCAAGGTTTGCTGCAAAATAAATTCATAATAAAGTAAATGTTTTTTCTGTGATTGATTACTGGATATTTATTTCATAGTCTATTTCAGTAGACCCATAATGTAATCCATACTATAACAATTCAATTAAAAACGTTAAACAAACAACAGGACAAACAGCACTCTTTTAGTAACCGTAATGAATTATAAAACAAAGTCTCTGACACTTTGGCAATTAGTATGAGTGAAAGAGTGACTAATGGCCTTTTCACTATATTATCATCATCATCATAACTAACTTTCTGTAGGTTAAAAAAGCCACATACAATCATGTGGATACTTCTGAAATGTGTTTCTATGAGACACCTTAACCATTCAGCAAAAAACACACCAGACACAAACACATCTGGACACCAGACTTTCCTGCCAGAAAAATTCTAGTTATAATCTATAAAACATAATCAGATATAATTTATATCTCCACTGAGATCAGTTACCAATTATAATTAAATAATTTCAGTAGTTTTACAATATTCACACACGAAATCAACACTGCCACCAAACTTTAGGCTGAATAAATTAAAGAACTATTACATTTGCACACACCCTGATGCCTCTCCGTGTCTCTCCTCCATGGCTTTGACCAAGAAATGGCAGCTAAGAGAGCTACAAATAAAATATATTCATCATTGCAAGTAATTTGACACTGTATGACCATAACTGATATTTAAGCAAGTCCCGTCACTCAGACATATAAACAGGGCTTCTAGTTAAAAAATACAGGCCAACTCAAAGCCTATGAGTGAGCTATAGGTTCAATTACGTATCATTCATATTTAAAAAATAAATGCATTTGTGTGAAGGAGTATTTCAATGTTTCAATGGATGTGCTGCTACATACTATACAGTTAGAAAATGAGTGCACCTTTGATGAGGAATCCTTGTCATTCTCTAAGATATACATCATGAGGAAAGGTTCCTGAAGAGAAGGTTCGGATTGATTGAGAAAAATCCCTCTCCCTCTGTGTAACAGACTTCAGATCCAGGAACAGGATTTGATTGTTGCAGGAAAATCTATTGAATCTCAAACACAAGGGCTTTCACTCAGATTAAACACAGCTACAGGATCTGCTTCAGGAGAGTTAACCACGAGGTTTGGACTACATCCTATTTCCTCTAGTGATTCAGCTGTGGCTGTGTGTGTCATTTTCATGTGGGTGGGGGTCCGTTGGTGTAGAGGAGCATGGGGTAAAAGGATCGGGCAAAGTTGTTGGAGAGAGTGCAGCTGTAGTCGTCCTCTGAGAGAGGCACCAGACACGCCACAACCAGCAGCAGCAGGAAGAGGATGTGGAGGGGGAAAGCCGCTCGCAGGACACGATATAGGAACGGCCTCGCTGGGGACGAATTAGACATGTCAGCCCTGCAGAAAAGACAGTTAGGAAGGGTAGATGTTTTACACTACTGCTCAAAAGTTTGGGTTTTGGATACATCTGATCAAAAGTGACAGTAAAGACTTTTGTATTGTTACAATTTGTACTGGAAGCTCCTGACACTAAGACGAAATCCTTGTGTGTGTAAAGACACTTGGCAATAAAGCTCTTTCTGATTCCGATTTTTTTTATTTTTAGCTTTTTATTCATCAAAGAAGCCGGTTTCCATAAAAACATTAAGCAGAACAACAGTTTTTAACATTAATAATAATAAATATTTCTTGAGCACTATATCAGCATATTAGAATGATTTCTGAAGGATCATGTCACACTGAAGACTGGAGTAATGGCTGCTGAAAAATCAGCTTTGCATCAAAGGAATAGATTACCTTTAAAAATATATTATAATAGTATAAATAGTATTTTAAACTGCAATTATATTTCACAATATTACTGTTTTACTGTATTTTTGATTAAATAAATGCAGCCTTAAGCATAAGAGACTTTTTCTCAAAAACATGGTGAAAGCGGAGCAGATGTGTGAAAGTGAGAAGAACTAGAGAGTGTGAAGAGAGTACTAGAAGACATCGACCTCAGCTAGGTTATAAAATCACACAACTGAACACATAGTAACATATATATATATATATATATATACACGTATAGAACAGCGTGTACCTGACACTCGCGGGAGATCCCTGTGTAACAACTCCTGCGGCTTCCTAGAGAGAGAAGAAAAATAACTCAGTGTTTGTTACCATCTAGTAAGCATGATAAAAACAGACTAGAGATTCTTAGAAAACCCTCATTTACTGTCACTTTCAAAACCTAACTCCCCAAGAGCAGACTGTAAATAACACCAATTTATTTCACCAGAAACTAAGTCAGATCCTTGTAATTTCCAGTCTGAACAGGGTGTTAATGGAGAGAGCGCTTTTGTACCTGGTGTTGTGTTGGTGCTGTTCTGCCCACATCTGGACCTGAAGAGTCCTGCGACAGAACAGAAGGGATCAACACATCAGTGTGAGAGAGTGAAACCAGCCTGGCCTGAAGAGTGCTTGAGTGTGTGAGACTGAATGAAACTTACCAGTCTGCTTTGCAGTGTGTGCAGGTCGTGTGTGATTTGTCTGATCAGCAGTCGTAACTTGTTGCTGATGACGTGAACCTTCTCTTTGGCCTCCAGGGTGTCTTCTCCATGGTCCTGTAGCAGGATCTGTGAGGAGATCTCCTGCAGGCAGAACACCTCCCTCTCACGAGACTGTAAGTCCTGTTGAACAGCCTATTACGCACAGACAACAACTTTATCAACTTAACAGTTATTGCTATTATTAAAATGGATTTAACGGATTTTTTCATCAAATATCATTATTTTTGTGGGGACATGTTTAGATATCGTAAACACACTATTCTTACCTTAAGTGTGTCTTGATGCTCTTGCAGGATGTTGAGGTCTGTGTTTTGGTCATGGATGTTGACCATGTAGCGCTGGCTTTCTGCTTTAGCTAACCACAGCAGCAGAGAGTGAAGAGTCTCGTGAAACTCCTGTGAAAAAAGAAAATGGAATACACAGATGAGTCTCAGTTTCTCTTCATTAAATGGTGCGTGTGTGTTTGATTTAGGCTTCACTATATCAGGACCTTTACAAAAGCCCTTCAGGAAGTTACTGAAAAAAATGGAAGTTACTGAATTTTTTTTAAAAATAGGCCCTGAGAATACCCCCCCTTTTTTTAATTAAATGGCATTTTAGACCTTTGATACATCTCTGTCATGGTATACTGTAGCTCCAAGAACATGTACCCAACATTTCTAAAACCTTTTTCACAAAAAGTAACAAGTGCAAATGTTTGTGAGTGCACAGACATGTGCTTCCTAAACACGTTGTGTTGCAGTTGCACAACAAAACAAAACAACACTCATGGTACTTTGCTGTGTTGTCTGAACTCTGGTATCAGTGTCACTTTGCAAGCTTGTTTTTCCTCACCTGACACTCCATGAGTGCTTGATGCAGTCGGTGTTCCCAGCTGTCCAGGGCCACACAGGCCTGTGCCCATTTCTGATTGGCTGACTGCAGACTCTCACGCAGTTCTCGTAGCTCAGTGCTGTCTCCATGCTGGAAGCCCCGCCCACTGAGATTAACACCAATCATCACTGATTTGTAGCCGTTAAAAATCCTCTGCATGTCCTTATGAAAGAACAAAATGACAAAATGAACCTATACAGTATATGCCTAAATAATATACCCTACCATTCCCAAATTTGGTGTCTGCAAAATGTTTTAATGTTTTTGAAAGAAGTTTCTTATGCTCAGCAAAGCTGCATTTATTTGACTAATAATACAGTAAAAATAATACTGTGAAAAATGATTACAATAAAAAAATGCTTTCGATTTTAATATATTTTATAATGTAATTATTCCTGTGATGGCAAAGCTGAATGCTCAGCAGTCTTCAGTGTCACATGATCCTTCAGAAAGTATTCTAATATGCTGATTTGCTGCTCAAGAAACATTTCTTATTATTATGAATGTTGAAAACAGCTGCTTAATATTTTTGTGGAAACCATGATACATTTTTTCCCCCTCAGGATTCTTTGATAAATTGAAAGTTCAAAAGAACACCATTATAAAAGAGTAAAAGTGTATATATTAAAAATATATTCATATAAATTAATATTAACACACACATTAATATACATGCACTCTCTCAAGTGGCTTACTGTTTTATTAACTTTGTTTGAGTCTGATTCTATCACTCTTTAAATGTCTCTCTCAGTACCTTTAGTTTGTGGATATTGCTCTCCATGTCTCTGATGGTGATTTTTGGCTGTAGAGTTTGAAGTTTCTCTAGCTCAGGCATCACAGCGTTCAGCCATGCCATGACATCAGAGAGGTCAGAGTTGAGTTTGTGCCACTGCTGAAGATCCTGCGGCATGCTGCACGACTGCACCTGCAGGAGCTCCCATCGCTCGATCACACCTGAGGCCACAGATCCGAGGACAAAGGTCAGATGTCACTGAAACTCAATTGATGTATGAACATGTCTGTAAAAGTGTGAGTATATAATACAAATATAGCAGTACCCGTCTTATCTGCTGCGGAGAGGACCGTCAAACCCTGATCGTCCAGTTGTTCTTCCTCGCTCAGAATCAGTTTCACTCGCTTTATACTGTCTATACTGCCAGCACAATCAGACATGAGTTTATCCTGAAGGATGAGAGAGAGGAAATAGAACACAAAATGTGTTTATATGTGTGTGCCAATGTTAAAGCGTGCTTAGTGAGTGTGATGCATGTGTGAGTACTCACATAGGCCTGTGGGTGATACTGAGCGCTGGTGTCTGTGGGTGAGGATGTGAGACTGCGTATAATCTCTCTGTTCGCTCGCTTCCTGTCTGGCGCATCAGGAGAGTGCCACGTCTCCACCACTGACCTTCCTCCTAAGCGAGAGACAGAGCAAGATATTTTAACTCCTAATACCAATCAAAACAAGCACGCAAAAAGTCATCACTCAGTTGCACAGGCATGCTACAGAAACAAAAAAAGAATAAAGATGCAATTGGTCGCAAAACCGACATGCATTATGAAAAACATCTGTAATGCAAATCACATTCAGAGGAAGATTCTTGGCAAACATAAAAACAAGCATCATGGGATTTCAAGAACATGGGCAGCTGCTAGAGAGATGAAGTTGTTAACCAGCCAGGCAGTGAGCACAAAGCAAAAAATGTCTATTATATTTAGAGATTAAGGAAGGAAACATGTCACTTATGCTAAAGCACGCATGTAATGTGCAGCGAGAGTGCTGACAGCATGAAGCAGGCTGATGCCTACCGGACACAGCCTTCAGAGCTTTAGATGTAGCTTTAAAAAATAACTGAGAGCTCTCAGTGACTTCTACATCTGCAAGAGAAGAGCAGCAGACAGACAGAGATCTAGAGACACTATAACAGACAGATAACAGACATCTAGACTAACAGAGAGTCAAATATCAGACAGAGAGGTCAAGATACAGTATAAAAGAGTGGCAGACATAGGATGATGTGCAGTAGATACATTACCAGAGCAGTGAATAACAGAGCATAGATAACCTAATTCATCATATGGATCACTCTATAATTGGGGGAACATTTCACAGCAACAATCTAAATTTATTATTAAAATCAAGTTATATTAATGTTATTTAATGGACCTGAGCTAACATGGACTAACAATGAACAGCTGTATTTTTATTAACTAATGCCAACAAAGATGAATAAATACTGTAACAAATGTATTGCTCATTGTTAGTTAATGCATTAAATAGAGTTAACAAATGGAACCTTATTGTAAAGTGCTACCCAATATGCTTTATTAACAAAACAACTATTGCTTTCTTTATATATTTCATCAGTGTAACATTTTACACCAACTAGTTACCAATCTTAATTATTATTACACCATTTTAATATAACAATGTAACAAAATTGTAAATAAAACAGAAGTTGTAAATAAAGATTATTAGAGTGTTAAAAAAATACTATTTCAGTTTATCTATACATATACTATACATATTTAATTCAATGTGTTATTTGCAATTTCTCTGTAATTGGTTGTTAAATTTACTAGCAAGTTGAGGCATTTTCTTAATTCAAATAAAAAAAATTTTTTTTTAAAGGTTTATTTATGGTGTTTTATGCCTTTATTTAGATAGGACAGTATAGGTCGACAAGAAGTGAAGTGGGTGAGAGAGAGGGGGATGGGATCGGGAAAGGTCCGCGAGCCGGGACTCAAACTCGTGACACCCGAAGCGCAATGGCGCTGTATGACGGAGCGCTGCCCACGAGGCCATCGACGTCGACAATTCAAAGAAAATTAAATCCAAACTATTTAAAAAGCCCTTTTTCTGAATAATTCAGATTTTATAAATAAATTTAATATAGATAAAGGTGACTAACTTTTTTTTATTCTTTATTTTGAACCCAATCACACAATAACGGACACTGCAACAACTATAATTTAAGGGACATCAAGGCCATTTCAAGCAATAATAATATAAAAATTAATAGAAAGTTTTTAGAAAAAATATAATGACATTATATTGGACATGTAAAACTCGAGAAAATTGGACATGAAATGCACCCTAAATTGTAGAATGACTCTATTCTAGATAATCTAGGTTCTCTTTAACCCCTTAACTGTCACCCCCCATTTTTTAAAATAGGCATGAATGTGCACTATCCAAACATAAATTGTTGTAATTTATGAACACTTTGGAATACAGCCCTAAGGTTGGTCTCTTTGTAAAGAAGATAATCAGCAGTTTATGGCAAAAGTGGAATTTAAAAAAAAAATTTAAGTATCAAAAAGTTATAGAAGTTTAAATTTATTGTAAAGAAAATACACTGTACTAATTTTATTTTATTTTATATATAATAAATATTTTACACAACAGGTTTTACTCTAAAATTGCAATAAAATTTAAGCCTTCTGTCTAAATAAGTTATGTTTCAAATTTGAAGTTGATATGAAAACAATTGCGGTTTCTGTGAGATTTTATTTAGGGCGTTATACCACAAATAGCCACCGGGTGCATCCAAACTCCATTGAATTTTTTTAATGCATTTTTCTGTCACATGTGTTGACATTTCTCTGTCAATATTGCTTCTAACACAAAATAGAAGTAATCCTAAAAATGTAATAAAATGTAATCCTAAGACTCAGACCTTTCCAATGATATGTTTTTTGTCAAGATTATAAAAAGTTTTGTTTGTAAAAGACCGTAATGCATTTTGTAATATGACTTGACACTGCCCGCTAAGTGGGAGACCGCCAAAACATTTTAAAGTACCATTTCTATGGTAACGCAATGTTCGATTTTAAAATGGTTTTCACAGGATGAATCTTGGGCTTCTTAGCTTTCAAACGATATACAATTTATGATGATTACTAAAATATTTGATAGAGAAAAAGGACAACAATTAAAGAGTGCCAAGCGTCCCACATTTACCTAAAAGTGCAGCAGATAACATAAAGAGATCTACATAGACTTTAACAGAGCAGCAGATCTAGGCACTCTAAAAGAGTGTCATGTAAGAGACAAAGAATAATAGCACAGCATATAGCAAACAGAGAGATCTAGAAACACGAACAGAGCGGTCTATAACAGACAGACAGATCTAGATATACTTTAACAGAGCAGCAGAGACCAGTCTGTAAAGAGGTACCTGATAGGGCGCTGTAGAACGTCAACTCCTCATCATCCTCTGGAGATGAAGATCCTCCCACATCGACGGTGTGGTCCCACTCCAGTGGGATTGAATCCACACTGACGGGCGTCTCACGCCCTGAGTGCTCCAGAGTAGGTGGCAACAGCTGGGATACGGCCTGGCGTACTGTCAGAGAAACACCAGAGCTCATAGCAGCCTCCTCTTCCTCCTCCTGTTGCCTCTCCCACACCCCACTGAAATCAGCCGAGTCCTCCGGATCTGTGTCTCTGTCTGAGAACTCTCGGTCCTCCTCTAGCACCTAGTGGGAAGGGTAAAAGTTAGTAATCAGTCAAGAGTGTATTGTTCAGCATTTGTGAGATGAGTTTTTCAAACTGACTGGACGTCTGCTGATAAGACGGTGGTGGAATCGGGCGACTCTGCCAAACACTTCCTGGCAGTAAGAGTGCAGCTCCTCTAGTTCATCTTCGATGAGTACAGCGTCCAGTGGAGCACTCTTCTGGATCAGGTTCTCTCCAAATACGATCAGAGCATCGATCTTATTTGTGTTTAGAGTGATCTCCTGCTGAAATGCCTGCAGGAATCAAATAACAAATTATTTTTCACTCTGACTGTGTGACCAGACTCATTCAACCTGTTTAACTGTTTAATAGTTACAAAAGCAATTTTTACATAAAACCTGTTTAACTGTTTAATAGTTACAATAGCAATTTTTACATAAAATCAGAGGGTACTGACGTTTAGTTGACGCATCTTTTCATGGATATCACTCTCTGAAAAATGCTCCACATTGGTGAGCTGAAGGTCCATTTCAGTCAGCCAGACCAGAATCCCCTCCCTTGTTCCTTCAAAGTCTTCACGCTGGGATGTGAAGTGCTGAACAGAGGAGAAGCATTTAGAGCTCAGTAACGTTTTAGAAAATTGAGTTTTGCCCCAAAAAAGTATACTTTGTTATCATGGAAACGAAGAACTGAAGGTCAGAGATGCAATTCATTTGAACATTCTTACAGGTTTTTAGGTTTATTAGGTGCCATTTCCAAACCAGTCAGTATTTGAGAATTTAATATATATTAAAAAGTACAGTTCAAAACTTTAGGATCAGTAAGATTTATTTTTATGTTTTCAAGAAGTCTCTTATGCTCACCAATGCTGCATATATTTGAATAAAAATACAGTAAAAATATTACTGTGAAATATTATTACAATTTAAAATAACTATTTTAAATGATTAAACTATTTTCTATTGTAATGTATTTTAAAATGTAATTTATTCCTGTGATTGCAAAGCTAAATTTTCAGTCATTACTCCAGTGTCACATGAACTTTCAGAAATCAATCTCACATGCTGAATTGCGGCTCAAGAAACATTTTGCTGCTATATATTATTATTTAAACTCTTTCAAACTTTATTTTTCAGGATTCTCTAATGAATAGAAAGTAAAAAAACAGCATTTACTTAAAATAGAAATCTTTTGTGACATTATGAATGTTATATTGTCACTTTAGAAGCATTTATTGTGTTCTGGCTTAATAAAATAATTAATTTATTTAAATATATATATATATTAATGACTTCTGAACAGTAGTGTAGGACCCAAGTCTGACCTTTAACCTGCGGAGCACAGCGGCCACTCTCTTCTGTAGCGTATCCCAGCGCTGGTTTCCCTCATGCACCATCAGCTTCAGCTTACTGGCACCATCTGTCCGGTTCTCTCGTGCCAGACGTCGGTATTGTTTGTTCACCAGCTCCAGCTGTGTCAGGCGCTCATGGACCTGCCGCTGGAATGCCTGCATGTGTGCAAGTTTTAAAAAAGTGTTAATTGTCCAATAGATTATGTCTAGATAAAGACAAATGCAAAAGCCACTACACTCTTAAAAACAAGTTATTTAGGTTCTGTATAGTTGGAAAGTTTTATAGTTGAATATTAAAATGTTCTTTCCACTAAGAAAAAATGGCTCTTTTAAGAATGGTTCACTGAAAGGTTCTTCGAGGAACCAAAAACGGTTCTTTTATGCTATTACTGAGATGATGAACAAGCTACTATTAGTGAAAAAATCCTTAAAAAGGATTAAAAAGATCTAAACCTCAAACTTTTTGAGTTCCTCTTTAGCACAGGTGTAGAGTACATCTTTGGTGGCAGGGTTGGCTGCTGTACGTTCTGCCGTGCTCAGCCACTCTTCGAAGCGTGAATAGTCATCCAGGAACTTGCACCACAGACGCCATGTCTCCTCAATCCTGCAGGGGACAGTATAGAGTACAGTGGTCAGAGAAAAAAAAAAAGAGTGACACTGATGCCGCCAAACATGCTAATATAGGTGTTTGTATTGACCTCATTCTCCTCTCCATAGACATGGCACATATGTTCCTCCAGCGGCGGTCCAGGCTGAGAGTGGTCTGCTGAATGGAGTCGTTCTCTCCATCGCTGCCACAAGCATCCGCATCATGCAGCAAAACATCACACAGGGTCAGAACAGATGCCACACCCTCTGTGTGCTGTTCGATGTCTCTCTGCAAGTCCTAGTGGAGACCAACAAAATCACACTCTAAAGGCCCGTTCACACTAAGGTCGATAACAATAAAGTTCTAATAATCATTCTAATTTTATGAGAATAAGAAAGTCCACACCACAACTATAACCATAACGTTGGAAGTAATTTCAAAATCCATCCTGATTTAAAGAGCTTAAGCATTCTTGGTGTGAATGGGCCTAAGACTAACGTATACCAAAAAACTCATCAAATTATCAGTCGTTTAAGAAAGATGACATTGCTAAGACATCAAAATATTGCAAAAAGCCACCCCACATTAGAAGAAACGTCATGTTCATTTAAAAAAATGGAGGAATATACACTTAAGGGTAAAGATGAACAGGCTTTAGTGGCCCTCTTTACCTATTGATAGTTTTCACGTGACGTCACACTTATAGGAACACCCACCTGGAGGGCAAAACGAAGCTTTGCTCAACTGACCGCCAGTTATTTTTATGCAGTTTGCATTGAGTAGTAATGTAGTAAAAAACAGATATTAAAAGGCGAAATTCAGTTTACACCTTATTGATGATGTATATTTTGTACAGGCAAGCAGATGAAGCCAGAATATAAACGCAATGTGCAAAGCTTCACGTTAAATGGTTTCCCATAGAAAACCATTAGAAGGAAAACACTGAACCGTTAAGCGGACTGCGATCATATTCCAGCCTCATCTGCTTGCCTATGTAAACTATGCATCATTAATATAGAGATTACTGAATTTGATATTTTAACATTACTGTTTTAAATATATTAAGGCACTTTAAGTGTTTTTACAACGTTTTGTTGCACTGTTTAATGATTAAAATATAGCCGCGGGTGCTTAATATGAATTGCAAATGGCCAAAAAAAACTTGCATTTTGTTCACATACCTTTGTTTTATTCTTTTGAGAGGTGATCTAAATATTTGCGGCTGTGAAACATATGTAAAATTGATAGACTTGTGCTGCAGTTCTATGGATGTTTTGCCCTCCAAGTCTTTGAGCCGGTCACGTGACTGAAAGCTATGAACACACCCTATAAGCATTGGTGTTTAGATAAATCTGCTTCATAACGCATTGTGCTTTTTGAAGGCATACAATAAGTACTTGAAACATAGTTTCGTATAGTGGTTTTGTTATTGAATGCACAGATTACCTGATGCTCTGCTAGTTTGCGCTGTATCTCATCACTGTGGCAGACGCTGTAGATGATGGGTTTGGCCAGCTTACCCTCGACGCGAGAAAGCCAGGTACGGAGATTACTCATGTTCTTATCCAGCTGCTGCACTGTCACCAGCGTCTCCTTCAGCTTCCTCACCCTGAAATACAATCAGTCAGTCTGTCAATATCTTTTTTTTGTTGTTGCTGGTATTCAATAGAACAGTGTAAGAGGAGACTGGAAGCAATAAGAGAGAGAGGTACAAGATTGGGACAGGACCTTAAGCTGGGACTTGAACTCGAGTTGCTCAAAGTCACATTTGGCTTTTACACCATAAAAAGAAAACTTTTTAAAACAGAACATCTTTTTTTTTTTTTTTTTTTACACTTATTCTAGACCCCGACTTTGAATTCTCAGTATTTCAATCATAAAAATATGAATTATTACATTACTTACAAACTATCATATTCTAAATAAAGAGTGAAATAAACTATTCTAACAACTTTTGTGTATCACATAGTGTGTATCACTTCACAGTAGTTAAGAGTTTTGATAGGTTGGACATTTGCTTTCCAGTAACAAAGTAGTCAATCACAATCATCATTTCTTCTATAGAGTGCAACAGTGTCTGTCCACTTGTTTAGTGTCCTTTTTCCCATTTTCCCATGTATTTTCCACATAGGGGAAAAAAGTCTTTGCTAAAGCAATTCCTGCAGTTAAAAATGATTATTTAAAAAAATAAGTTGAAATATTGTTGATATGAAACACAGTTTTACCAAAACATGGTCTGTCTTTTTATGTTCACATAAAAAGCTAACATTCCTTGACCTAGTGCCATTCCTATACAGCAAGCCTGCCAGCTGAGGTTTACAAAGACACAATACAGGACAAAAGGCTTCTTATTAGGTCTGAGTGTGCAATGACCCACGTCAGGTCCATCTGTCGCACTCTATTCAACCCACACCAGAACACTCAGTGTTAGGACTATCTGAGCATGTAGATGGGTTTCACCCCACTCTAAGAGTGACGTCATGTGACTAAGAGGATGGGGGCATTCCTTCTTATAGTCATGTGACATTTCCAATGGAGGTCTGACCAAAACAAACCCAAGTGCTGATGTGGAAGAAGTGACATCATACAACTCAACTGCACGTGACAGCAATGCATTGAAGTGTTTGGTGTTCGTATCAGAGGGTTTATTCTTATTGTGACAAACACAAGTACTATTTGCATTATCACAAACAAACTGAAGAGAAAACACTTAAATAAAATAACATGCAGTCACTCATAATATTTGGTGCAATGAAATAAGGCAATGAAACAAGATGTCCTCTGTATCACATCAATATAAACATAAAAGCCTTAAAAGATGAGAGGATTTAGAAAGATATACTTTATAAATAAAACATTAGTAATGCATGATTCCAGATGCATGCATCTTCGCAGCCTGTTTTTGGTGCATATCTGTTTAGAATTGAGAAAATGCACCATCTGCACATCGCCAGCATGCATGTCCTCCCTAGAAACAAGCGTGTTTCCATGCAAAGCAGAATCTGGTCAGTCCAGCACTGAAGCTAGTGTTAGCCACTGAACACACACACTGACAAAAGCACTGCCCATATCCTTTCTCTCTCTCTCTCTCTCTCTCTCTCTCTCTCTCACACACACACACACACACACACACACACACACACACACACACACACACGCGCGCATATATGATTATATGAGCTTATATGAAAACCCCGTGTGTGTGTGCAATTAGCAAATACTTACTCGCAGACTGATGAGGCTCCATGGCTCTCTCGTGTTAGCGTTAACATGTCTGTCTTGTGGCTGATCTCACACACACTCCTCTCACAGACCGTGAGCTGCTGTATACTCCCACCCTCCAGTCCCTCTGTCATATTCAACCCCCCTCTCTCTCCCTCTCACTGAATGGCCATGAGATGTGTCATTTACAGTGGAGATGGTGAAGATACTCCATGTTCCCATCACTTTCTTCAACTGCATTACAAATACAGCCAGCAATTGTAAATATTTAGGAATACTTATAGACTGTCATATCACAGACTGCATCTTATTCAGAGGCTACAGCATTTTGGCACGAGCAAACATATTTTAGAGATGGTTACAGGAATCTTGTGGAAAGTTTTATGCCTTTTATTATGAATATGTGATACAAAAATCGGACTATTAAATGTAAAGCGAAATTGTCTAGACTGGTTAAAGTAGCAAGCATGATTGTAGGTAATGCACAAAGGCAACCCAATGATACTTATATATCAAATGTCAAACAAAAAGCTTTGGTTATTATAAAAAATTCATCTTTTCCCTTACATTCGTAATTTCAGTTACCCTCAAAGAGACATTTTAGACAACCTCATTATTAAATGCTGAGACATAATTATGAGTAGGTGTGGATATGTATGTGGCATTATGGGTGTACAGGGTGAGCCTGAATGTATAAAACTAGCATGCAGCAAACAGGTAGTAATTACTGCCTCAATTCGGCGTGGCATGGAGGTGATCAGTTTGTCTTCTAATTTATTGAGATGCACCTGTAGAAACAAGACATAGAAAAACCTTCAACACACAACACAGAACACCCTAGCAACAGTAGCAACCACATAGCAACATGCTAAAAAAACACTCAGAGAAACTGCATACAGTAGTAATAAACTAGGTGTACTTTTGCACTATTCTGTGCCATTTTGTAGTTTAAATAGTGAGTATTGTGTTCACAGTAAAAAATTCCAACAAGTAATACTGCACTTCAAATATCAAGATGATGCACTTAACTGGGAAAATAAATAAATAAATAAAATGAAATGTGGAATGTCGGACACTTCACACACTCAGAGTCATCAGCTTTCCTTACGTAGTTGAAAGAGAGGGGCTGTCTGAATCTTATGCTGGATGACAAAATGGCATTATAAAATTCATACACAGATGGTAGAGTACACAATGCATAGTATAAGTGTGTAGCATATAATGCATCATTTGGGACACTTCTTGCATCTTAGCAACATGTTTTGCACAGGCAAGTACCACTCATATTAAAATATAATTAATTTGTAATAATTGATTCAGATTCATACTTCTCCAGCATGCTTAATTTCAAGCAGTTCAGCTAAATGAGCTGAGAAATCTGGGCCACAGGGAACCGCGTTGGTGGGCCTCACATAGGCAGAGCTGCTTGTCAAAGGCTTTCAGTCTTTAGAATAGGGTAATTCACTGGTGTTGGGAAGATTCAGAGCACACTTCAGCTCTCTGAAGGGTTTAATTAAATCGTCCCACTTCACGGTTAGTCAGTATTTGATATCCATTCAGGATGATAGTCATGGTGGATAAAGATTGTTAAAACGTGGAATATTATTTGTGAGGAGACACACAAAACTGCACATACACAAAGAGGCTGTCACACACCCTAAAATAAGCTTATTGCAAACTTGTTGCCATAGAAGCACTTCCAGCTACAGATGTCTAAACTTCTGAGTGGAAACTGGAAAACAAATTTCCTCATTCAAGCACTTTGGTCAACATCCCACAAAGGAGTGTAAAATGGTCCTTAAAAAAGTGAGTAGAGAATTTTAATGAACTTTCCTGAATGGGAATCTTCAATATAATTTATGTGTGTGTGTGTGTTTAGCGGGGCTGTTTTCAACATAACATCTGTCCCATGTTGGCCCTTTGTCCAGCAATAGTGAGCAGGGTTTTGTAAGATACCAAGGGTTCAATAATACAATGGCTGCCATCACTCAGCAAATAGCAGAAGAGCAGAAAGACAGAGCCTTGATGCTGATTGGCCGAGAGACACAATAAGTGTAGACAGAAGACTTATGGGATGGCGAGTGGACACAAAGGCCTGTGCCAGCAGACAGCAGCTCCCGCGTGTGCAGATGCTGTGAGGGTGAACTCTGCTGTGCTTTTAGCTGACAAAAGAGTCGGACGTGTCTATGTAAACTTCTATAATCCTGCTTAGAGACTTGTCTCAATCACACACTCCCATTTGCAAGTTGTATGAGTGACACACAAATATGTACACATAAACTGCCATTATAAAATTTAGGGTTGATAAGATTTTTTTTAAATGCCTTTGAAAGAAGTCACTTATACTCAGCCAAGGCTACATTTATGTGTTACAGTAAAATATTATTACAAATAACTATTTAAATACTATACTTTAATGTATATGGATTTATTTCTGTCATGGCAAAGCTGAATTTTCAGCAGCCATTACTTCAGTCTTCAGTGTCACATGATTCTTCAGAATCTAGTATGCTGATTTGGTGCTCAAGAAACATTTATTATTATTTTCAGTGTTGAATACGATTGTGCTGCTTCTTTGTGTGGAAACTGTGATATATTTCTTTCAGGATTCTTATATATATTTCTTTTCAGGATCTGAATAGAAAGTTCAAAAGAACAGTATTTATTTGATATTGTAATATTATAAATCTTAGTGACCCCAAACTTAGTAAGTAATGGTAGTGTATAGAGTATATTAACATATCTCTTCAGATGGTCTAAATTCAAATGACAAATAATCTCTAAACATTTGATAGTGACAATGAAAACAGAGCGACCAGCCGAGACAGGCCGAGGCATGCTGGAGTCATGCTTGTGAACTTTGACCTCGAACACAGAGACACTGACTTCAACAGCATTCTCGACACAAGCTCAACCCATCACTAAAACACTCTCTTTATGTACACAAAGGTGAATTTAAAGGAATAGTTAAGAAAAATATATAATGGCCAGTCAGTTGGATCATTATCCCTGACAGGGTGATCTTGTATCATCCTGAAGGTGTTTATTTTTGGATAACAAACAGCTGACTGCATGTGTTTTGGTTAAACTCGTGCTCATGGAGTCTCAGTGATTGATGAAAAGGAATACTGACAGGTGTAAAGCTCCAGCTCAAGGTGACAGCCGACAAACAGACAGGTCTCGTGCCTGGTTACCCACTGATCCACAAAGCTACATTTAGTGTCAACAGGCACCTGCACAGCCAGTGTTAGCTCTAAAACCTTGACATTAGTGGCACAGAGCCAGTTAACATTTAAATTGCTTATAGACACTCAGGAATCTGCTCAGCTGTGAACTATGATAGAAATGTCTGTAGCAAGGCATAATTTGTCTGCACACCTGTTTGCAAAGCAGATTAAAACACGCAAACATGCTACTAACACAATAAGGCAGCCAGTTTTTGAGACTCGGCTACCTACAGAATTTTAATTACTGTCACAGTGTGAATGCCGAGATTTTTGCTCGACTGCAGATGTGAAGCTCTATAGCTCTACAGGTGAATTTATTTGCTGTGATGAGGTAAGAGGAATCTGCAGGTGAAGAGTGCAACAGGCCACCAGCTTCTTTCCCTTATAACCTTCATAACCTCTTAAGAAGCTTGTTTAAGCAACACAATTACATTAAATGGCATTCCACCAGCTGATGTTTACTGTCGCAATGTTTCAGTTGTATTTCGAATTTTGAAATGTACAGTCTTAAAAATAAAGGTTCTTTACTGACATTAATGGTTCAAAGAAGAACTTTCAAAGTCCATGGAACTTTCCAGTGCACAAAAGGTTCTTTATAGTGGAAAAAGTTTCTTTAGATTATTGAAATGTGCCTTTTGTTAAAAAAAATTATGTTTCATTTCACTAAATTGTTTACTAAATGTTCTTTGGGGATCCGAAAATGGTTCTTCCATGCCATCCCTGTGAAAACCTTTATTTTTTTAGAGTGCAGTTGAATGATAGATAAGGTCTAATCTCAATCTCTTTGAGTAATATGGAACATGATATAGGTCAGCATGTTGCCTTAACATGAACAAACAATAAATATAGATGCTTTGAATGCACTTATTCCAGAGATCCATAACCGAAGACCAGAGAAAATGCAGAAAAGAAAAGCAGACTTGAAGACAAGAAGTCAACAAGCTGGCCATCAATGTATCATGAAGCTACAGCCACCGTCTGTCTAATCAAAGAGCTGTCAATCAAGTGAAGAGCAGGACAAACCAACCCCCTTCATACGCTCCACCCAGATAACACCCATCTGGACTGACTCCACGTGCACGTCTACATTTAAATCTCTCTCTCTTGCAGTTTCTGACTCAGTGGAGCTGATGTTTACACTTCATTGAATGTGACAAACTGCACTTCCTGTCTGTTAAATAAAGTGTGGCTGAGATTAATTGGATCAATGTCAGATTAACATCACTGTGCCATGCATTCATTTTACAAAGTACTTTGCAGGTCATATCCCATGACCCAAATGCTTGTAAAAATCCAGCAAAGTTCTCAAGTAACATATGCGTCACCGTTTTATGGTCACATTCTAGCAGCATTTATAATAAAGGAGTATTGTGTATTGCATCTGATTTAGTATATTTGACCATGACCATGCTCAGGGTTACTCTAAGGTCTTACCTGGCCTCAATGTGATCAAACAGATGCTGCCAGCGGTCGTTGATGTCCTTGATCTTGTCATTGATGTCTGTCTCTTTGGTCTTGTTGCTAGCAGTGATGAGTTGTTCTCCCAGCTGTTTCAGATGCGTCTTATTCTCACTGAAGAGGTTGATCTCCTCCATACAGTCCTGAAGAGAGTGAATATTTGAGTGGAAGAGGGCACGGAAAGTAATAATGATTAATATCTTGAGAGTCATACTCTTGTTGTTTGCTTGCTTACAAGATTAGGTGAAATATAGCAAGCAAATAAATGTGGAATAAACATTCGTTCTGTGAAGACCTTTGTCTCACCTTCTTGAGTTTCTCCACCATCTCCTCGATGCTCAGCTCAGCACTGTGTGCCACCTTGTTTTCCATCTGTGTCAGCCATTCACACAGCTCCCGATTCTTCTCATTAAAAATGATCCAGGCATTCAGCCGATCAGCAATCTCCTGCTTACGCAGAGAAACCTACAGAGAGAGAGAGAGAGAGAGAAAATACATAAGAGATATGGCAGCATAACTGCAGCTCACACAAAGACAGGGAATCTCACTAAACCTGTCAAAAAGATGTGCAGGTCATATTTCTCACCAAAATCTAAAGAAAAACACAATATGTTTTTCGCATTCTGACAATTAAGAATACAAACAATTCTGAATACTATAATTTTGTAAATAAATTTGTTTTAAAAATATAGTTGTATTAATTATGGAAGTCTCGTTGTACTGCCTTTATACTGATTTTAAAAAATAATGTATTACAGCTATTTTTACTGTATTACAATAAAAAATACTGTATCACAGTAATGGACATTAATAAAATCTAATGAATCAACACTGCGAATACAGGGAATTACAAAAATTAAAAAAAAATAAAAATTAAAATGTGCATATTGTGGTAACAATTTCTGGGACAAATGTACTTAATTAAAATCATTACAATTATGTCAATCAATTATAAAAAAATTTATGCAAAACAATTTCTTTCCATATTTAAAGATCACTAGCCAAAACATCTTTATGAACTTTGTTACTCAAAAGTTTTAAAATCCAAACTAACTCAACAGCTGCCACATGTGGACTTCACTGTTACTAGGCAACACTTCCACACCCCCCCTACAGACACACTCACACTCCGGCGTGTGACACACACACACTGGGAGTGATTTCCAAAACAAAGAGCTAAAGACTCCTGCTTCTATTAATTTCTGTGTGTCTTTTTTCTGTGTCCTTCACTCTATACCATCTGCTCTCTCATTCCACTGTCAAAGACCCCCACCCACCCCAAAACTCACACCAGACCCCCAAAACATGACCCCAGGAGACTCCAGCTGACTGATCCAGCACCATATTCATTAAAAACCGCAGCAAGACATTGTGCGAGTGATGGACAGGTTCAGAAATTAAATCAATACATGGTCACCAGAACAACATACTGTACATCAAGGAACTTCACAGGAACAATGACTCCAGCTGAATCAATGAGCACTGATAAATTTTTTTTTTAAAAATCCTCACATCTGTTTCTTGGGTAGTGATGGTGTGCTAACATTGTATTTAAAATAGTTGGAATTCCTTTGAGCATGTCGTCTGTGTAGGTTTACTTAGCAGTAGCTGGAGACAAAACTGTCTCCAAAAGTTAAATATAACAAAACATCCCTTTGTGGACATCCAGGATGTTCTCAAAAGTAACATGTTTAATAAATCAATGAAGGAAATTTTTTTTTATTAATATTTAATAATTTAGATAAATAATTTGAATAAAAATTAATAAATAAATAAGTTATCTTTAAGGCATAGAGATTTAGTTTAGGTTAGGTTTTACTCTGTAGTAATTATAATTAACTTTAGAAAACAACAAAAAATGTAATGTCTTCATTTAGATATCTGTAGGTAAACGTGTTTTAAAACGTTAAAAATGTTTAAAAAAAGCAGAAGTTGCCATGTATCTACACCTTAAACTACATTCATATAATACAGATTCATTCATTATATTTTGCTGTTAAATATTTATACTTCTCAGTTCTCACACAGTAAGGTTTATCAGTCAGCTCAATGAATTAGAGCTGTCAATGTTTAGACACAAGATTCCTGTAGGCTTTATGTTTGCTCTGTTTTCTCCTATTTCATCAAAAAGTCTAAAGCATAAAATACAAAAGTCTCTGGTATGTCTAGGTAAAGATATTTGTGTGTCTTACTTTGAGGCAGAGCTCTTCCCACTGGCAGTGCAAATGGTCCACTTGCTCCTGCAGGAGGAGGACGTCATCGGTGAGGATGTACTGGGACAGGTCTGTCTTCATGGTGCTGAGCTCCGAAAGACTGACGGCCCAGTCCTCTAAACAATCCTGAACCTCCTGCATAACATAATACACCACCGTCACAGAAAACACTGCCACACGTTCCAGCTCTGACTCACGCAATCTCTCTCTTTCACCCTCTGGCCCTGCAAGATTAAAGCCCACGGGACAAAGGGGGAGGGCAGGAGGGAGAGAGAGAGAGAGAGAGAGAGAGAGA